ATTATTATTATTATTAGCTCTACATGTGACAGTTTCTCTCCCCTGGACTGTAAAGACAGTTTGGCTGTAAAGACAGTTGTAATAGTGTGTCAGCCATGGAAGAGAGGGCCATCCACCCTTGTAGTGCCAGGCCCTAAAAGACCATAACCAGTTGGACTCAGGGAGGCTGCCCAACATGTGAAGGCACTTGAGTGTTTCCTCTTGCTGTTACCTTATTATGTAGGACTTGTATCAAGCTATGCAATAGATCCTCTAAGGCACAAGTGGCTTTCTGTCTTCATCATAATTCAAAGAATGGAAGCTCATTGGAATTCTCTGGTCCAAAAGAGTCAATTAGCACACTGGTCCATCTGCAGCCACCAATTCTTTCTGCTAGGACAGGCATCTTTCAAAGGAGCCATTCCTGAGAAATCTCATTAGAAATAAACGTCATAGTGCACTCTTGTATACATTATTCAGTTCATCACAACTGTAGCCATTAATGTTGCTGCACTAACACAGCATTGATTCATTATTTTACAGTGTTGTTTAAGGTCACAGACTATGCATTTACAGGGGCCTGAGGTTTCCGCCCTGTTCCATGGTTGGGTAGCACAAAACAAGTACAACACCAATTAAATCTTCATCATTGCTCCACAACTTAGACAGCAACTAAAAATAATGAAGAAGAGAATGGGACATTCTAGGTAAATTGGGACAAAGGAATGATATTTCCCATCCCATCTGGGAAATGGGTGGGTACCCAGGTTTTAAAGCAAACTCACACAGAAAATTCAGTTTCTACTGTCCAGGCACTGCTTGCTATAAAATTTGTCTCCTGTTGGAGACCTGAGGAACCTTAGCAACTGAGACCATCTGCCACCCAGAGACCTGGGAGGACATACCATGGGCAAAGCACCAAAGGAGCTGCACAGCTTGAGGAGTGGACTTCAAGAGACATGGCTCAGGCAGGAACTAGCTTTGTCTGGATTGCAGCCACCCTAATCAAGGAGGGGCAGTCAAGACAAAAATCCAAGTGAGACAAGCAGTTCAAGAAGTAATCCTCCCCAGTCAGAAAAATCGAAGTGGGAGTCAGGCAGAGCTGGGAATCCTCCTGTTTTCTTTGCTTACTGATCAAAGACAATAGCAGGATTCTCTTGCGAGTTGCTGTTTTGTTCCCCTCAAAAGGTGAGCAGTGCAAAGGGAATCTTCCCATACTAGAGGACTGAGGTTAGGGTTTGGGAAGTGCTTCCCGAGCCATCGCTTATAGGCCAGATGGGAAATTCTGTGGACCAGATTAGGCTTGGAAATTCTCCTCTTCTGCCATAAAGATTTAAGTTGCGACCGCATTTCCTGTTTACCTGGCAGTAAGTCCCATGAAACTCAGTGGATCTTCTTTTCCCCCCTGAGTAAAATGGATTTAGGTGGCTTAGTAGATCCCAAGCCAAACATGAATCAACAGTGTGAGGTGGCAGCAGCAAAACAAAATGAAACAAAAAGGAAAGAAAAAGCTACTTGCATTCTAGGCTGCTTTGGCCAGACTGTGCTTAAAATAATGAGTCCAGTTTTGGGCTCCAGTTTTAAAAAGATACTAACTAGCTGAATTGTGTCCAGAGGAGGGTGATCAAGATAGTAAAATATCTGGAAGCCTCTGAAGATGGATTCAGCAGCCATCTTCAGGTATGCTGGAGAAGGCTGAGAGGTGATTGATTGGCATCTTTAAATATTTGAAGTGCTGCCTCATGGTGGATGGACCAAGCTGGTTTTCTGTGGTTCCAGATCGTAGAACCTGAATGAAAGGATTCAGTTTAGCCCATTTGAAGAATTGAAGGAGACTTTACATAAACATCAGGAAGAGCTGATTGATAGTGGCTACTACGGTGGGACTTTCAAGTTAATCTGAATGAAAACCCACACTAAAGTGGTTCCTTCTTTTAATTTCAGAGTCTTTTGTGGATTCTTCATTGAGAAAAGCTGAAATCAGTAAAATCTGGGACACCAAACAAGAGGGTGCTGAGATGACAGATTCCATATGGATTTCCTCTAGCGAGATGATAGATTCCATATGGATGTCCTCTATCAGATTATCTCCATTTGACCCATATATGTAAAGTCTTTATCCTCCTGTCATTCCGTCTTTGCCCCCTTTAGTCTCTCCACCAACACTCTCACCTCCCCACACAAGCCCCACAATGTCTCCCTTGGAAAGCAATGGAATCTCCTTCATTAGAGGAATTTAGAAAAGAGGTTGTATGAACAAGAAACTGTGCCTTCTCAGCAGTGGCCCCCCACCTTTGGAATAATCTCCCCTCCGAGATCCACTTGGCCCCTTCGCTGGGTATTTTCAAGACCAACTTAAGACCCTGCTATTTAGGCAGGCTTTCCTTCTGGTCACTATTTGATTTATTTATTTTTTCCTTTATCCCTTTCTTCCATCTTGAATGATATTCTTGCTGTTGCTAAATTGATATTATTTGTTGGATTTTATTCTATTTTATTGTGAGCCGCCCAGAGTTGACACTGTCTAAATGGGTGGGATACAAATT